CTTCTATGTACATCTCTTTTTCTGTATATAAGGAAATGTGTGTGTTGTTGTTTTTGTCCAGTAGCGTCCTGTTCCTTGTGTATGTGTGTGTGTGTAAACCACCTACCTGATTTGTCATTTTGGCGGATGCGTTATTATTTTCGCGATGCACCTATTAATGGCCAACCAAAATTCCAACAACAATCCCTACTAATTGTCGTGACTAAATGGTGTTCTTTGTTAGCTTTTTGGTTTTCCCGCTCTACCACCACCCTAAATCAGGTGGCATAGGTTGTTGGCGATGTTAGGTTAGGTATTGCTAATGAAACTGCAAACATTTGACAGATTTACTTACCTTTGTTGTTTTTTTATGGTGGCTTGACCAAACCGAACAGGTGACAGAGCGAACGAACCTTTTTTGTTTGCAATGGATGTTTGAGTGCGTTCGCGTATTTTCTGTAACCGTTGTTGTTCTTTGTGTAGTCTTCTTGTTGTTGCGTTTTTTGTTTGCCAAAGGTTGAATAGAAATCCTAGAATGTAAGGTTTTTTAGTTCTACGGTGCTATTCTCATAGAGCGGTTGTGTTTATAAAAAAATAAAAATAAATTACAGATTTTAATTTGAAAAATATTTAATGGTAGTTATAAAAAGTGAAAAAACGTTTTAAACGTCAATTTAAAATTTAGTAATTTATGCTGAAATTGAATTAAAAATTGTTTTTTTAATATAAATTCTTGTTAACGACCCTGTTGTCCACATTATTATCACCTAGCCATATTTTATGTCTAAAGTGGCCGTTGGTCTTTAAACGACATTCAACGACGAATTAATTGCTTGTTGAGTGGGATAATTAAAAACAAATCTCATCAAGTTGTATTACTCGTTTTTTATGTGTGTTCGCGGATTTTTAAAACACCTTGAATTGTATGAAAAATTTAATAATATTTCAAATCGCTGTTTAAATCGAAGTTATTTTTTGCGGCTTGATCTTAATCTGTTGGAATAAGACTTTAAATTATTGAACTTTATTTAATTGGATACAATTGAACTCTTTAGATCAAGTAAGTATACGAAGTGTGTGTTTGTAAAGAAATAACATATAGGAGTTATTCTTTATAAAGGATATCATAAGTTCATCGAAAATATCTGAAAACATTTGGGGAATATATGCAAAATAAAAATAAAATAAAAATATATATTATCTATAACCCTTTATATAATCAATTTATATAGATTTGAGATTTTCAGAGCAAGGGTAGGATAAAAGTGGAAAGGTACGATAAAAACATGCGAGGTTCGATTTCTGATCTTGTGAGCCTTAGGACAAATTTGATAATTATATAAAAATAAATATTTTTCATGATTTTTTAATTATTTTCTAAAGGACAATCAAAGCATGCATTTATAGACTATTTAAATGTGGATTTTATAAACATAATTTTCGTAAACACTATCTAACCGCGAATTTAAAAAATGAAAAGTAATATCAAAGCGTGGGTATATATAAAATATTTTTCATAGGACAATCGAAGCATGAATTTTATATACAAATATTTTCAAGGAATATCAATATGTGGATTCTACAAAAAAAAAAATCAATGGACTATCCAAGCATGCATTTTATAAAAATATTTCGGTTCATTTTATAAAAAAAATCTGAAGATTTTATTTAAATGGACTATCAAAGTCTAAATTTTATGAAAAATATTTTACTTTATAACGTGGATTTGTTTTTCAATATCTTCCAAAGTACAGATTGTGGGATGAAAATATTTTTTAATTGGATACCAAAGCGCGGATTAAAAAAATATATAAAAAATATATTTTTTTTCAAATATTTCAAGCACGTAATTAAAAAAATATTTTTCAAAAAACTAACGAAGTGCGGATTTTTTAAAAGTACGATCCAAGTATGATTGTATGTATATATATATATATATATATATTTTATAAACAAAATATTTTGAAAGGACTACCAAAGCGTGATTATTTATAAAAGACTAAACCGCTGTTTTAATAAAAAAAAACAATATTTCTGTCTTTCAAAGCGTTGATTTTGTAAAAAAAATATTTTCATTGCCAAAAAGCGAGAATTTTTTAAAAAAAAAATATTTTTTAAGGACTACAAAATATTTTTCGCTGTAGTGATCGGGTTCTTGTGTGCCTGATCGGGTTCGAATCCCAGCAGAGGAAAAATGTCCTTCAAAATGCATCCGAAGGCCCCCCGAGTTGCTATTAACCAAACTCTGTATAAACACATGGGTATAACACTTACAAATAGGAATGACAAGAGATAGCGCCAACCAGAAAGAAATGACAACACTAAAACTAGCAAGGACACCAACCACCTTACAAAATTCAAGGTTACTTTGTTTCTATGCAACCATAGATGGCAGCCACATTTGATAGGACAAGCTACAGTAGAATAATCCCCTAATTAGCTGGGATAAAAACAACAATAACGAAACTAAAGAAAGTACTAATCAAATATGAGGCCGAAGCTTTATGGAAGCCCTATGCTTCCTAAATTAGTAGCAGGAGAAAAACTCTTTGAAACGAATTAAAGGACTATCTAAATATGGTAGCACTGGAATATATTCCTCTGTGGATCTCCCAGCTGATACATTTAAAAACCAGTAAGGAATGTAGTAAAGTCGGATTGGGCCGACTATAAGATACCCTTCACCACTTTGGGTATATTCTACATATGTATCCGAAAAGACGTCGCTGCACTGTTTAAACTTTAATCTCAATCAGAAACCCATAGATTATTTGGTGTACAAATAACATAAATAGGTCGAAATTATATATGGAAGCTACGATATATCTATATCTGAACCGATTTCAAGCAAACCTACCAGAGATTAATTTATATTAACTTCAGTACGTTGTGTCAATCGGCCTAGCTATGGATCTTTAGTGCACACTTTACTTAAAACCGGACGAACATATATGTAGGAGGTGTACACATCATTCTAGACTTAATTCAATACGCTATGCCAAAATTCGAATGATTTTCAGGGACATTGGTCCGCCATTTACATAAAATCGGACGAAAATATATATGGAAGCTATATCTAAATCTGAACCGATTTTCACGAAACTTAGCACACATCATTCTAGGCTTAATTTAGTACGCTATACCAAAATTGTTGCAAATCAAAAGATTTGCAGGGACTTTGGTGCACCATTTATCTAAAATCGGGCGAAACTATATATGGCAGCTATATCTAAATCTGAACCGATTTTCATGAAACTTAGCACACATCATTCTAGATATAATTTAGTAGGTTATACCAAATTTCGTGCAAATCGAAAGATATATATGGACTTTGGTACACCATTTACCTTAAATCGGGCGAAACCATATATGGGAGCTACATCTAAATCTGAACCGATTTTCACGAAACTTAGCTCACGTCATTCTAGACTTAATTTAATACACTATGTAAAAATGTGTGCAACTTAAATGATTTTCAGGGACTTTGGTACACCATTTACCTTAAATCGGTCGAAAATATATATGGGAGCTATATCTAAATCTGAATCGATTTTTCCCAATTTCAATAGGGTTCGTCCTTGGGCCAAATAAGTGAGCTGTGCCAAATTTCATCCAAATCGGATCATAAATGCGACCTGTACTTTGTTTACAATTTAACATCAACAGACGGACGGACGGACATGCATAAATCGACTCAGAACGTGATTCTATGCATATTTTCAAAACGAACCATGGATCTATATCGATTCCTTTTGCATTTTACAAACATATGCACAAAGAGACCACAGTGTGGTGAAGGGTATAAAAATCTGAAATAATTTATCGAAGGGCAAGAGAAGAGACGTTAGAGCAATAATTTAAGGGGAATGGGAGCATTCTCGGTCAAAAAAATAGTTTTCTAATAAAAAACTCACGTAATACGGGACCTCCATAGCTATTGTATGTAAGATATTTTTTTTTTATTTTTCCGCTTGGTTTTTGGTCGAAAATAGGCGATTTTTCAATTTTCTTAGGTCCACCATTTTGTTAATTTTTGAGCCAGAGCCAAAAGTAGGAATTTTTCTTAATTGATAAAAAGTAAAAAGACAACAACATTTTGTCAATTTATGTTCTTAATCTTTAAGTATTCTTTTATATAATGTTTGCTCAGCCTGTTGAAAATCGTCAAAATTCGAATCGAGAATGGGGGAGGTGTCCTCTTTAATACAATGATGCGGACAAGTATTGCAGCTTCTTTTGATTTCTGCTGCTCTTTAGACTAGTTTTTTTAAACGACCATTTATGGTTCAAATTATTTTTTCATTTTCCTTTATTGTTTCCACAAAATATGACATTTTTCTTACTGAAAATATGTGGAAATAAATTTTCCTATCACCTTAATATGAGTCAAATACTCCCAGTTTCAGAAGACATACAAATATTTTTCTATGCATACGTTCTATGCATAGAATGGAATAATGGGATTTTTTATTCATTTACGAATTCTATACAAATGCTTCCCAATCACTCCATTGATCTCAAATACTCATTTTCTTTGATATTTTTGTTATTTTTTTCTAATTCCGAGTACGATTTCATTTGTCGCTTTTAATATATTCTATATTATCGGCATTACTATAATCTAAATATTACTTGCGACAGCATTTTCGTTCGGCGTTCCAAATTTGTTCTTAGTATTCAATAACTCTGCAAACAACATGGAAAGTGGGAAAACTCTCATGTTAATGTAAATTGTATGGTCACGACTAATGTTTAAAGAAAAGGAAAAAAGAAAATTATAATAGTTACAAAATGACAAACATCACGCATGCCCATAATAATCATTTAGCTTATCACAGGCATGATCATCATTTCTTCTTAGCATAACTTGCATGGGAAATAGCCATAGGCAAATTAATAGGACAAACACACCAACAACTAGACGTTAAAATATTTTGTTTTACAACAAACTTTTACTTTAAAAAATTTTCCTTCTTTACAAATTTCCCTTTAATAATTTTCATCGTTTCTCTTTTTTGCAGAAATTTCCTACCAAAAAGTAAAAGTCATTCATCGATTGTTGTTCCCCCGCCGGGTGGTGTTGCCATTGGTATTGGCCCCCAATTGCCTCCATTGACGGGTGCTATTAAACTACGACATGTCGGTTCGACAAGTGATGCAACAAAATCTGAATCTCTAAACGTAGCATTACCACCACCGCCGCCGTCATTGTACCAGCAGCAACAACAACTACCACAATCATCATCGGCATCATCATTGCCGCATCAACAAGAACCGGATCCAGAATTACAATCGAGACAACCGACAGCATTGCCACCATTTTTACAGGGTGGTCTCAGGCGTAGTGCAACACAAGTAAGTGAAGGATAGAAACAAATATATATATATATATTTATATATATACATGAAAGACCTTATATACCTAAAACAATTTCTTGGAATTTTATATTTACTATATTGATCTTCGATCATAAGAAAAACTTTCTGATAGGAATTCTATTCCTTTAAGACTTTATTTAGGCCTTCGATATCAGGAAGACCTTCTATTTGTCTACTATTCCTAGAAGATCATATATGGGTCTTCTATTACCGGATAAGCTTTTATAGGTCTTTATTCCTATGAGATCCTTTATAATTCCTACATCCTTAGAAGGTCTTCCATGGGTTTGATATCTCTAGAAGATATTGTATATACATATTTTATAGCTGGGAATGCATGTCTTCCAGGGAGGGTCATCTAGGTATGGAAGACCTACGTATTATATTCTAGGCATAAATATATTCTAGAAATAGCAAATTTGTATTCTAGTACGTATTCTAGAGTTAGAAGATTTTAATTCTAGGAATAGAAGGGATAGAGGTTCCATATGAGGTATTCTAGGGATAGAAGACGAGGTGTTTTAGGGATGGGGTCCTCTAGAGATAGTAATCCTAGATAAGTGGTCTGTTCCAGAACTTTTTTAATAGTAAATCTAGTAAAAGGGAAACATTTCTACATTGCTCTCAGAGTACAAAATAATTTGAAAAGTTCGGAAACGCAAATCTAGTAAATATGCCAAAAATAAATGACAATACTTCAAAATCAACATAACAGCCAATCAGAAGTAGGCATTCATGTTTACCATTTTTACTCGGCCAAATTTCTCAAGTAAAAAGTTTACAAAGAGAACGCCATTTTGTTTTGCGCTCCCTTAAATTTGATTCAATGTTTTACCAGTTTTGTGGGTACGGTTTTCGAGTAAAAAGTTGCAAAACATGTAAAATGAGTAGATTCTTTTAGGTTCTGGAACGGAACTAATGTCTTCTAGAAGGTTTTCCATGGGTAGAAGACCTCAAAAAGGTTTTCTAAGGATGGAATAACTTGAGATGTTATTCTATGTATAGAACATATTCTGGATATTGACAATAGAATATCTTCTAGAAATAAAACATCTGTAGAAGTCCATATATACACCTAAGCATGAAAAACTTATAAAAGCTCGAATATTCATTGTAGAGAAAACTTAGAACACTTTCTGGGAATAAAAGATCTAAAGAATGCATTTTTGAGGAAGAAGACCATAGAGAGAATGTCCATAGACTGATATGGAGATAGAAGACCGACATATATAAATTAAATGTTGTAGTCCTCTAGAAGGCCTTCCAGGGACAAAGAACGTCTTCTAGAAGGTCTTAAGAAAGTGTTACAAGGTTATATGGCCTTTTAATAGGTTCTTGAGGGCCAAAAACCTGCAAGAGGCCTTCTAATATATATAATACTTTTGGAACAATCTCTGGAAATGGAACTCAAGAATGCCTCCTATGGATATAGAGCGTCTTCAAGGGATAGACAATTTATACAGGGTCTTCTATGCGCAGATTAAGGAACATCTTCTTGAAACAGAAGGCTTAAGTAAATAAGACCTGTATAAAATATTCTGGGCATAAAATACATATATAAGGTATTCAGAAGAATAAGGCTTAAATTGATAGTCTCCTATGTATAAAATACCTATATAAGGTGCTCTACATGCAGGATTTTTATTCCCTAGGAAAAAAATATACGCTGAACCCCTTAAACGTCATTTCAGAGTCTGCTTTCCATAGAAGACCTACAGAAAATCATCTGTCTGCAACCATTTTTCTTGTGAATTTTCGTTTTTATTAATTTTTTCACTCATCTTTCCCCCCTATAGGTCATGGGTCCCGATCAACGCACAATTACCATCAACAAGACCGGCTCCATAGCCGATCGTCTAGCTGCACTGCAAAAGAGCGGTGAGGATGACTGGAAACGACGCATTTCGAAACGTGACGAAATTGATGATATCAAACGTGAAAATTTCGTTAATGTAAGTACTAAATTTTCTTTATTGTTATTGTTGTAGATAATTATTAGTATTATGATTGCCATTATTATTATATTTTTGTTTACAAAACACACACCCACAACCACAAGAGGTGTGCGTGTGTGGTATGGTGTTAATATCTATGGTTTCTAGGTGTCACTTTCATTTTCCGCAATGATCTCAGATTACAAATGTAGAAAATTTAATTACGCACTTGTTACACAGGCACACATACACTCATGTAATATGTATGTATGTTGATTTGCGAAATGCAAAATATGTGTGTGCTGGGCATGTGCGGCATTGTGGTTTTCCATGTAACTGTGTTATTATATTTTATTTGTTTTTTTTTCTTCTCTTCTTGTTACACCCCTCTACCAATTTCTCTTGACAAATGTTATGCAACACTTCTTTTTTATATCTTTTTAAATTACAGTTGCCTAAAGGTTGCTGTTGTTGTAGTTTTTTGTTTATATGGGCTTCCTATTGTTTACAATTGTGCAAAAGTGTAAAAAAAGGAAAATTGTAAATTTTCTGGTGTTATGCGTGTGTCGTAATTTCAGATGTGTGATTCAATTTGTGATAACGTGTTTTTAGTTAGTTAATTGAGATTTTTTGTTGTTGTAATTATTTTTCAGATTCGTAATTAATAGTTTCGGTCCATGATTTATGTTGTAACTCATTAAAAGGAGTTAATAGCCAATCGCCAAATTGCCAGTCCAATATAAAGGGGAGGAGGGTATTGATTTGGAAAATGTATACCCAATATTATTGTTATATGAGAAGTAAAAGAAGATATTTCATCTTTAGTATAAATATATAAAGTACATTATCTATAGAAAATCATTTAAAGGTGTTGTATAAAAAAGACATGGATATTAAGCATCGCCTATATATGAAGGACATGTAGGTGATATTCTATATATAGAAGATTTATAGAAGGTTGGATATTTTCTTTGAAACCCTATGGAAGGCCTTCGATATTTACAGGGTCCACGTTGTATAGAATGTCTCTAGAAAGGACATATGTGTAAACGATCTATAGACGAGTTTCTATGTCTTATATGTCCATTATATAAATAATACTGAAACATCTTCTACGTATAAAGAAGACATATCGCTGGCTTAAAGTGGGCCGTACACGATCATGCATGCATGACATCAAAATCGTATACGTGTTCATGAAGCTTCAGCGCACACGGTTCATGCATTCATTTTGCATTTGATTTCGTGCTGTACAGACAATGTTGACAACGGACGAAACAATTTTTTCGATTTTGTCCTTGTGCTTACAAAATAGAGAAAATGCTGAAAAAGTGCTGAGAACAACTGGCATACTTCCAACAACTCTATAACATTTTTCTCGCAGTATCCGACATTTCTTTACCATTCTCTTTGAAAAAAACATCATAAGTGAGAATATGCATGATGCCTCCTCCGCACATACGTCAAAATCGAACGTCATTCATGCGAAAAATCAAAAATTTTTGATTTTGCTTCATGCATCGTATCTGTGACACATACATACAAATTTCACTAACACCACTAAATGCATGTCATGCATGCATGACCGTTTACGGGACACATAACTTGTAAAGGCAATAAGTCCCTTTTCAACAATTTTTTAGGATAGACAAAAAATTATCAATTTTTTTACATGCTAATTTTTATTTAAAAAAAAAATCATACTTTATTCAAAAATATCAATAAAAACAAGTAAAAACATCGTTAAGTTCGCATGAGACTAATTTTTTGTACTCTCCACCATGAGATGCACAGTCAAATACTTAAAATCGATCGGGATTATTATATAGTTGCTATGCCATAATAAATTACTATCAAAAGAAAATGAAATATCAAACTACAAGCTATTGGAAATTTGGGCTAGGACCTTGTACATACCAAAATCCGCAAATTGTCCAAAATTTGCAGTACAGTCCTATGGGAGATATACTAAATCGCAAACAGATAACGATGATTGTTTGTAGAAAGATTCGACACCCAATGAGAACCCAGAATATCAAATTAGAACCAATTCGATTGATAATTGTAAAAAAATCCCAACATACCGAATAAAATAATGGGGATGGGCCAATATTGATAATATGAGAGGCAAGTATAAAATTACAGCCAAGTCCTTTGAAAACCTTAGAGTCAAAAAATTGGGCCAATATTGATAATCATTTTTGGCCTGATGCGAAACTTGCATATGCGAATTAAATTCAAATTTGTATACCCAATCAGAGTCCTTTTCCAGAGTATAAAATTACAGCCAATTCAACATTTGTGTTTGGAAACCTGCCCTAGCCGTGCTCAGCTGAAATAATACCAAAATCTGAAAATTGTTGAAAAATTGCAGTACAGTTCTATGGGAGCTATACTAAACCGCGGACAGATATCGATGATTGTTTATAGAAATACCGAATAATGGGGGTAACGTAATATGAGGGCTACTCCGAAAATTGGGCCAATATTGATAATTTTTGGTGGGGAGATTTTGTACCCAATGAGAGTCCCAAGTATAAAATTACAGCCAATTCCTTTGGAAACCTGCCCAAACCTTCCAAAATTCTGAATATTGGGGATAACGTTATATGGGTGTTACCCTAAAAAGTGGACCAAAATACCAATTTAGAGTCAATCAGGCATATTGGGCTATGTGGCTTTACAAAGGTCGTATGTTGATAATTTGTATTTATTCCGCCCTGATGCGAAACTTGCATATGCGAATTAAATTCAAATTTGTCAAAGTTCGACATTTGTCTTCAATTCTAGGAACAGTCCTTTTCAAAGCAGATTTTTGTTGTAGCGTTGGATAATTAATCCACACACCTACAATTGCTTCCATGGCATACACATTTTTTTGCGCAACCGTTTTTGGAAGTGTGTTGATGGCTCCGAACGTTAAGTGGTCTGACAACATTTGTGTTGCTCCGAGGACCGAAGTTCGAGCCCTAGCCGTGCTCAGCTGAAATAATTTTTGTTATTTTAATTTTGCCTTGTAAGGGCATTGATCATTTGAAAGTAATCTTTAAAGTGATTATTTATACTCTTTCGAGTCGAGCTTAATGATCTAAGTTTTGCATTGAAAAGGAAAGCCAGGAGAAGAACCTACGTACCCACCATTCACTTTCTAGAAAAATGGACTTGTTGTTTTTTCAAGTTAAACCAGCGATATTTTACAGTTTATATACAGAAAACAACAGCAAAAATGAAATAATTGTAGATTTTATTTATTTAATCGATGTATTTTTTGAACATGCCTGAATCAAATTTCAATTTCTAGAAAAAGTGAACTTATTCCCTAATCACCACAAGCCAGCATCATATTCTCCGGAATAGAGGCATATATATGCATATGAAGTTTATGAGGGCTGCTGTGTACAGAGAAGTTTGTTTTTTGATTTTTTTTTAGTTGACACACATAGTTCTATGATTCGTGACATATGGCGATCCTAAAAACGTCTTTTGAAGCACCGAAATTGTAGTTATTCAAAAATATTTTTTGAGGCATATCGAACGAACATATCTCTTTTGCGGGAGGTCTTCATTAAGTGTATGCACACCATCAATGTTTTATGGCATAGCTGCCATTTTTGGAAGACCCCATCGAACCAATTTCCCACAGTGCTTCATCGCCATACACAAATTTATGCTCATCGATGTACTCTAGTTCTGATAATCCATTTCGAAAGTTGGGATAAATGATTTGATGATAATTTTCACGAGTCAATTTCATAGCTTTTGAATATTGACTGTAAACAACACAGCACATGGTCGTACGTACTGATTGCAATAATGCTGGAAGATATCAATCCTTCCAATAAAAATATCAAAGAGTTCCAAGAAACACTTAGAATGGCCCAAGCACTACCCCATTTGCGGCATTTTTAAATTCTAGGCCGCATTTTTCCTACCAAAGGGTTTGAAATTTGACATTCCAGTTCTTTTGGGAAATCATTATTGCGGAAAGTATTCAGTATAAGTCTATTATCCTCATAATCCGCATATAAAGGACCTCCTTATTTTAGATATATTTTTATGGCGATAGGAGTCTGTAATTTGGAATTTTAGATTTTTAAAGCGCAAAATAATATTTGTTCGTACAAATATCTCGCCCAATTTTAATGTGTTTCATGGCTTTTTGCGCATTTTCGCATTTTTCTTTGGGGAAAAATAATTTTCAATATAGTTCTTTGTTTTGACATAGCCCCCATATAAATATTCTGTTTATAAAAGACAATAGGATGTAGGTCTTGTGTCCATACAATACATTTTGTTTTGTCCATATAACACTTGAAATGGGTCTTCTGTAGTAATCCGGTATTTTGTAGATTCTCCATGCTATATAGGAAATTAAGAAGCCATTCTTCCTAAATGATATATGTAGGAGGTCTATAAAAGACCTTTTGAATGTCTTCGGTATATTGAAGACCTGTCGAAGGAAAAGATTACAACAGAGTCATAGAACCAAACCCAAAAAACGGAACAAATTAGATAACTATTTTCATATAAAAAAGGGGGTTATATGGGGACTACCCCTAAAATGGGGTGAATATTAATCATTTTTAGTAGGGAGATTTGTTACCATATACGACTACAAAATACCAAATTCGGTTGAAAAACGCACTCAAGAACCTCAAAATACCGATAATTGGGGGGTACGCTTATATGGGGGCTACCAGAAAAAGTGAACCGATGTTTATAATTTTTAGTTTAGATATTTCGCATAAAATAAGAACACAATGTACCAATTTTCAGTGAATTCGGTTGAAAAATGCGCTCAAGATCCCCAAAATACCAAAAATTGGAGGGTACCCATATACGGGGGCTATCCGAAATAATTAACCTACATTTATAATTTTTGGTGTGGAGATTTGCTACCAAATTTCAGGGAATTCGGTTGAAAAGCGCACTCAAGAACTTCAAAATACCGAAAATTGGGGGGTGTACCCTTATATGGGGGCTATCAGAAAAAGTGGACCGATGTTTATAATTTTTGT